GCGGCGTCTGTGCGCCGTGACGTCAGACGCACGGCGTGAGGGTGGGCAGGGCAGGGGCCCCGCGCGGAGGCCCCGCCCGCGCGGCTCTGTCGGTGAGGCGGTGCCGCCGCCATGGCGGCTGCTCTGAGGGAGCGGTGCGGTGTCAGCCCCGCGTGCCTCGGCATCGGCTTTTCACACATCCTCCGTGGGTTTGCGACCCGAATCCATGGAGGGGTTCAAGCGGCACAGCCGAGTTCAGCGGCCACCCTCGAGCTGCGGGGCTGCCCTCTGCTGGTGCCTCGTGAAACGGGTGTAGCAGTGCAGAAGTCACCCTTTAGTCTCAGTCGCCAATTCTCTGCTTCTAATGAACCCCCGAAGCGTAACGTTTGAGCAATGCAGAAATCACCAGTTAGTCCCAATCGCCAGTTAATTCCTTCTAATGAACCTCCCAATCGTAGCGTTTGAGCAGTCCGGTGCCCGGGCAGATTCCACAGTTAGGCCCGGCTTCATGCTCCCCATCAGGAGACTGAGTTGTTCCTGTGTGACACAGTAAAACACCGATAAAATCGGTTATCTAACCAAGTCTGCAACTCCCAGCTGCCCCTCCTCTGTGAGGAATTGCTCTGGTTCCTGTGCAATTCCTAGTTCACACCTGAACTCGTGTACAGTGGTGAATCTGGCTTAGTCATGTCCTGGCAGAGGCAAAATCCGTGCTCCAAGGAAAGCAAAACCCAGTGCCACAGGCCTGAATTTATAATGGACTCTACAGTGGGATTAATCCTGAACTGTACGGTGGAAAAATAATGTTTCCAACCCCTCTAGTTGTCAGTCAGACAGAGAATTCAATAAGCCCAAAGAGATTGTTTGCAAGTAAACAAAAGCAAACCCAAAAGCAGGGAAAAGTGGAACTGGAATGCAAGCTTCAAATTTAGTAGCTCACAATGTTCTATCTGGGGAAAATCATAATCTCTGGTTGATGGGTAAATTGAAAAATTCCTGCACTCAGTGACTCTTTCCTAGAATAATTTTAGCAAGTTTTACCTCTAATACAGCAAGATTTTGCAGCTGAAGCAAAATCCAGAATATCTAAGGTGTAATGTACTTTTTATTGAATGCATGTTGCTGTCTTTTTAATGTCAGTCCCCCAAAACATTAGCAAAAAGTAGTTAAATAAAGACATGCTTTTGCATTTGTGGTTTTAAAATGTTCATTAAAATTTGTTTGCCAGAGAGTTTAAGATAACCATTTAAACCTGGTTTGCACTAGAGTGAAAATCCTGTTTCTCTTTTTTTTTATTTATTTTTATTTTTTTTGGTAAGGAGAGAAACTAAGATGTGGGGCATTAGCATCTGTTTGTTGCCCCCTGTTTTTTAAAAAACCTCCTTGCCTCATCAATATTGTTATATACCAGATCTGTTAATGCCAATTATGGCTTTGGTGCCAGTGGTTCAGTATTTCTCACTTAGTATCTAAATGATTATTATTTATAAATCTAGTGATAACATCTGCAAAGTGTTAAGAGTTTTCACAGCATCCACTGACACAGCCCCTCTCTGAGGAATTCTCTCAGACTACAAGCAGCAGAAAAAAGATAGAGGCATAAAATTAAATATACAGAGTAAGTGTGCACACATGAACAGGCAGAAAATATCTGTGTACCTGACACCTGTCACCTGTACCAGATAATTACAGTTTCTCACAGATTTCTCATTCCAAGAGAAGTGTCTAGGAAGAATATCTGGATTTTATGGAAAGTTCCTTGCTGAAGAGCTGATGACAAGCCAGTGGCTGGTATCCCTGGCAGGGCAGAGAAGATGGGATGTGACAGGGTCACGCTATCTGCCTTTCTTGCCTCGCTGTCTCTTCTAGGGTTTTACTGGGTTTTACCTTTGCTATTTTTATATCCCCTTATAAATAGATGACAGGCCCTTAACAGGGTATAGCAGCTCAGGGACAATTTGGGGAAATTACATTTAATTAAAAAAAAAAAGCTAATGCTGAAGAGACTATCAGAGCTGACTACCTTGAAGCAGGAAAATTTTGGTTCTAGGGTCTTTCGGTTCTCTCCTGTCAAGAAGAAGGATCTTCAGCCTGGGATAGGAGGGGTGGAAGTAACTAATGTTCATTCTGAAAATGAAATCAATAGCAGCTGTAAAAATTCATTGGTTTCAGTCAGAGGTTTTCAGCTGTCAGTTGAAAGAGGAACAAACCTATCAGAAGTGAAGAATCAGGCCTTTTTGAGGAAGAAAAGCGGTGTATAAAGGCTGCACCCCTTCATATCATACATACATACATACATAAATTTCCCTCTGAAGCAAAAGCCTTACCACAGATTTTGTGGAACAGATTGCAAAGCAGTTTCAGCTACTGCTCTTCATGCTGAACAAAACACTCTCAAAAATACCTCTCCAGGCATGCAAAAGGAAAGCAGACTGGGAAGCAGTTAATTTTCCTTCCTGTTCAGGAGGTGGCAGTGGAGACCCAGCAGTGGAGGGATGTCAGCTGGAATTTAAGTGGTGTCTCAGAGAAGGATTGAGTCAGGAAAAATTCTCTGGCCATAACCAGGTTATGTAGCACAAACTAGCAGCCCCTCTAAAAATGGCCATTTTTAAGACAGCAATAACTGAACAGTGCAGAATCAAACTAGAGAAATTTAGCCTTTTCGAGACTGGGAAGGAAACTCATTTGACTGCTGTCAACCCTTATGGTGTTTACTTTTGTTTATATGAGATATTTCCTTCTTTAATTAGATTTGCAACACCAAATGTATGCACAGCTTGAGGAAAGAGTAACACACAATGCAACTATGTTTTAGATTGCTTTGTACAGTAGAATATATTACGATTCAGTGTTACTGTGCTGGTGTGAGTGTATGAAAAGATACCTTCAAAACATTTGCTTCAAAATGCAATTTTGTAAGGTCCTTCTTTCAAATGCCTTCCCACAGTAGGTGATCCATCCTCACAGCAGCTCTTCAGGAGACGTAAATCTCATTTAGTTTTCTCATTGTTTGGATACAAAATTTAAAGCAGGGGTTGACTGCCTTGCCCAAAGCCTCAGAAAAACTCCATGGCAGAGCCAAAAATTCCTGGCTTTCAGTATTTCCAGTGCTGTGCTTGCTTTCTCTTAATTAAAGATGTATTGGTTTTGTTTTTTCATCCCTCTGGTTACCATCAGAGGGTGGCTGATTAGCAGTTGTGTTTTGCCTTTACTGGTCATGGATTTCTGCAGTTCCATGGTTTGGTTTTTATACTGACAGAGAGAATTTCTTGGGTCCCCTTGACTGGGTGGGAGCAGCTGTAGCTTTGCTTGGGAGCTCAGGGACAGAGTAATACTGTCTGTTTATAAGGGACTGAACTGAATGGGGATGGAAAAACCTCCAGGAGCATTTCTAAGATGTCTCAGGGAAAATACATTATTAATTTCACAAATCACTATAACTACTGATCAAGGGAGCCAGTGTCCCAGATTGTTGTGGCATATGTAAATTCAGAGAGATAACAGGAGCTTGGATGGGTGGATCAGCAGAAAGGCAAAGTGAGAACCCACTGACAGTTGTATTTCCACTCCACGAGAGTTTATTTTTGTAAAGGAAGTTTTTAAAATAGATTTTTTTAATTATTATTTTTAGATTACACAGTAGAATAGGAAAAAAAAATGCCAATATTCAGCCAGGTGAAAAAGAACAAGATACGGTTATGGCTTAGGGACACGTTTTCCTCCTTAGTGAGTTATTAGAATTTTTCTTAGAAATGCAGTGGCCCAGAAACTTTGTGTGAGAGTGGGCACTTGTGTCCATTCACATGTGCACTGGTGAAAAGTCTTGCCAGATGTGGTGGTTCTCTCTGAGCTGTGAGCAGTGGCAGACGGGAACGGCCCACACTGCCCTCAGCACAGTGACACACTGGCAATGGGAGCACAGGGCCTTGAACAGCTGGCAGGTCACCACCCAGGTGAGGTTTGTTCTCTGCAGTGGTTAGACTGGTTTGCACTTTGCTAATGCACAGCCCAGCTGGGATCACCTTGGGCTGAGCTGATCCAATCCACCCCCTTTAATTGCAAGGCTCCCAGGGATGGTTGAAAAGTGGACTTTTCTCGCTCTCTGTGGCACAGCTGGGCCTCCTGAGGACTGAAATGTCTCAGCCTGAAAAAGACTTGGGGGCTTGACACAGGGAAGCCCTAAAAAGCCACAGTTTACAAGAAATTCATCCAGATTACTTAACAGTCCTATTTGGCAAGAGCTCTGGCAGTGTGAGTAAGAACACTGTGCTGAGAAAGGAGGTTGCACATCACACTTCCACAGGCTTTGGAGTCAGTGCCACTACTGACATGGACAGAAGTTCTCACTTGGTGACAGCAGGCAGGACCAGGCTGTGCTGAACACTCACAGAAGCAACTCAGTGTAGATGCCCAGTGTTACATCAAGGAAACTCCACCACTTATGTCTACATGAGTTTCACCTCTGAGCCTCTTTCTTCTTTATTCAAAAGAATTTTAAGCTACTTGCAAAGATGTCTCTTACTGTACATTGTTACTGAAATGGGTCCCTCATCTCTGTAGAAGCTCTCAGCTTATTATTTGTATTGCCCTCAGCAATACAAATATTAAAAGAACATATTTAAACATCAGTTGTACCATGGAGTTTTATAGGAACAAACTAAATATACTCAGGTCCAATCTTAGCTTTTTGCTCTCCTTATGAAGAAGTTTCCATTCTACGACTCCTATTTGGGAAAATGCTTTATTATGGAAACTGAGAATCTCTTTTCCTTCAGTGCAATATTCTGAATGTGTGAGAGTGAAGAGAGAAGCAGCAAAGTGGAAATGAGGAGAGCAGAAACCACAGATACATTTCTGCCTACAAACACATTCATGAATTATTGTGCAGAGTCAGGGATATCTTTGTATTTTGGAGTTTCAAAGCAACCTGAATTTCTTTGCAGGTTATTATAAAGATTTGCAGCTGTAGAAATCTCTACCACAAAACTGAAGAACAAAACCCCCACAGCCAAGCCGTTTGTTTTTCGTTTTAATTATTATTCTTATTTGACACTCACATTACAAAATTTAGAAACCATAGACAGTTCAGGCAAACTGTTAAAACACAGTATAAATTAGGGGGGGGGCTTAATATATAAATTCTATACATAGGTATGTAGGCTGGAACATGACTGACAAAAGGAGTTGATAACAATCTTACCACAACCGTATAAAAAGGCATGGGAATAGGATGGGCACTACCATCATGAATGCAGGTTAAGACATTTTCCACAACAGCTATAAAGCGTAACAATGACCATGCTATGCTCGCAGTGGTTATGTGGGGTACAGAATGCATATTTACCATTAACATTTTGCAAGATCTATGTACAGTCACAAAATCCTAACAGCCACTTTCAAGTAGCTTTGCCGTTTCCTGCCTGTGCAATTAATAAAGTGTTGGTATTTGTTCTGAGCACTTCGAACAAAGCTACGTGGTTTGGGTGTTATGGATGGGTTAAAAGTTGGACTCAATGGTCTTTCCAACCTAAATGATTCTACATTTTTATGATTCTAAGGTAGAGGGATTTCAATTTGACCTGGAAATACTAATCCTAACATGAAATTGTTTAATTTAATGAAGAAGGTACAGGAAAAGCACAGTTCCTCATTGCTATCACTCACATGATAAGTATATACCAGTCTTTTAATCCATATTTATTCCCTAGCTTGATTCTTTTTCAGAACTAAAGTGATAATTTAGTTCCCATTTTTCTAAGCACAGTTGTAAAAAGGAGTTACACCAGAAGAAATGTTAAATTAAAATTTGGATATTTTTATGGGGTAATCCTTTGAAAGCACCTGCTTCTCAGGTGATCGAGGACATGTCATTCAACCTTTGAATTTCTCAATCTGAAAATAAGGACAGTTCTGCTTACCCATTTTTACTCTGTGCTTTTAGGTCTGTGACTAAACAGTATTATTCTACCAGTTTTTGAATAGCATGTTCCTGGAGTGTAGGTTTCAGATAGCTGATAGTCAGTGTCGCTAAAAGGGAAAAAAAAAACCCTTAAAATCTGATTTTTGACCTTTATAAGATGATGAACACTTGCTAAGAGTTCTGAAACCCAGAGGATAATTTATTTTCCATCTGTGTTGTGTACCAGCAAACGGTGTTTCTACAGACAGATCCCTAAGGGAAGTACTTGCACATTTGTAAGAATCATATCTTGAAACACTTGAATTTAATAACCCTGTGTGTGTGTCTTTTGCTAAGTTTTAATAATTAGGAGGATTCTATTGGAACAATTCCTTCTGGTTCAAGGAGAGGACAGACAGTAAGTGATAACACAACTTGGGCTGCTACAGAAACACACATGATGTCAACTGTCCAGACTACAACCCCCATTTTCTCAACTCTGTTTGCCCATGGGCCAAACATCAACAAACCATCAAACATTTGTTTCAAAAAGACTGGAATTCTAGAAGCATAATTAAATAATGAAAGCAGGGATATTGTACTGACCAGTAACAGTTCACTGAGGAAGTTGTGTTTCTCTGAAAGGTAGCTGGACTATGGAATTTTCTGTTCAGAACTCCATTAAATGGGCTCTGCACCTTTTAGAAGGAAGTTTCCCGTACAGACATTTAATTTGTAGGACTCGAGTTCTGAACTCAAAGTCTTTCTGCATTCAAGAAAGCCTGGGAACATTGCTGCACTGCAGTATTAATCTGGGTTGGCAGCTTTAGGGCCACAGGGATGAAAACAGAGGAGGACTCCTATTCTATTATGACAGATCTGGAGTATGATTACAGAGCCTTTGTATGGCAGAGAGCTAGAAAAATGTTCCTTTGGCATTTTGCAAGAGCTGTTTATGGAGCAAAATACCACTTCTGTGGAGGGAAAGGCACCAAGGGAAAAGGGAGCAGTCTAAGCCACTGTGAATTTACAGCACTACAGCCTCTGCCTGGCCAAAGAGCAGGGCAGGAAAACTGGGCAAGAGTTACTCATATTCAGCTTTTTTTTTCTGTAGCTGAGGCTGTAGCCTGAGTTTCAGTGTCTTGCACCTATGCAGAGTGTATGAAATACCACCCATACAAGCTACTGGGTCCCCATCTACATCTTGCATAATGTAAAAATGCAGGATGTGATGCCTTTATGACCATTAGCTTTAATGAACTTAGTGTTTTTTCAATATCTGAAAATATGCGAAATGTGTAAAAAGAATTGTAAAAGAAATTAATACAAAACAGATTAAACTCCAGATCAGTAACAAATTCTTCACTGTTTCATGTCCACTAAGAAACCTCTTTTAGTTCAAAAGAATTTTCTTGTACTCATTCTGTTGGATGGATAAGGAAGCATAGTAGGCTTTGTCCCAGGTGGACTTGCAAGAACTTTCTACCTTTCAAAAGGGATGTGTCCCAGGATCAGAAAGCTAAGAGTGCAGGCTCAGATATGACTTTGTACAGAATCATCTAATCCCCCCTGTGCCTCCATTAGCACATGTGCCACCACACAGACCCCAGGTATGCGTGTGCTGTTCCCCAGCCACACTTCAGTAATGCCCTGCACCAACTACAGAGGAGATTTCACTCAACAGGTAGTGTTAGAAAGGAAAAAAGAAGACAGCTTTGGTCCACAGTTGGGCCTCTGAGCAGTAACAAAGGGGCTTTTCCCTGTTTCCTTGTCACTCCCTAATCTCATTCTGCAACTACGACAATGGAAATAATCAGTTCACAATCAAAGGGGTTTTAATTTCCAATGAGAGAATCATCTGAGATAGTATGGCTAATTTCTACCAGTCTAAAAAGAGAAAAAGGTTCTTAAAGCCAGAAAGTCAAATTCTGATCACAGACATGAATCAATCCATTGGATCAGATTTAGTCCTTGAATTTGCTGCTGAAATTTCAACAATGTCAAAGAAAACTTTTGATAAGGCTGGATTTTCTCCCTATTAAGTGCACCTCCCATCTGAGAGTTGCACCTGGCACAGGGACTATACCAGCTGTCGATGCAGTTTAATCCCTATCGATAAGTAAAAACTGGACTACAGTTAATAATTGCAGGACTGCTCCAAAGCCCAGCACAATCAATTGGGGTTTTTCCTCTGGCACGTCGCTGTGCTTGGGATCAGTGTCATTCCATGGAGCACAGTCATTGCTAAGCCAGAGACTGTTAACTGTGTAACATTTTTACCCTGATATGCATAACAGTATCTTTTCTACTAACATGTCTTCTTGTTGATAACTCCAATTACATATTCAGTAATCTTAGCTCTGTTCTAAACTGGATTTACAGTCATGTGCAAACCAGCACTCATGTGCTTTAAGAAAAGGTGCATAAACTATTGCAACAAAACACAACAAATTAACCAAGATATCAGTAAGGGGCAGGCTTGAGTGATTATCTTATCACCACTGACCACATCATAAAATATTTTCAAGCTGAGAAAAATATCTCCATGCTTAAATTGTTTCTTATTTGAAGTGCTTTAGCATCTGCCCACACTTTGTTAAAGTGAAACCTCAGCAGTTTGCTCCCGGATCTGCACGTTCCTTATCCACATGGGGAGCTTCCAGAGATGTACAACAGGATTGTGTTCACTGCCTAACAGAGGGAATGACGATAGGCTAAGCTCAGGGTACTCTGGTGCACAGGATTCTTGTGCGATTTACTCATTTTGAGTGTTTGCCCTGAAAATTCAGTCACGCCCAGCTGACCAACATCCATCCACCTTTCGTGTGGTAATGGGATTGATGCTGATGTGAAACTGAGGGCAAGATTGTATGATTTGAGTGTCTTTTGAAAGGCATTGAGCAAGTTCATCTACTGACTTCAACACAAGCTGAAGGCACACAATTCCCTCATTGCTTCCCGCTGGGCTTATATCGAGCCGTGTGTTGCAGAATGGCACACTCAAGAAATGGAAAAATGGGACTTTTGCTGCCATTCTGATTACACTGGAGGAGATGCAGAAGTGATTTCATGTATTTGGGTCTTTTAAAATACTGCTGTATACCAGAAGCTAAGTTAATGCTTCTGGAAGACTGTACATATTCACATCTTTCTAGCTTAGGGGTTTGATACCAACACTGCAGACCTGTAGGTCTGGTTTTGCTCTCTTCTCTGTGTAGCATTAGTTCAAGCAGCTGTCAGGGAGGTGAATCCTCTCAAAAAAGTGGAATTAGAAAGCCATGACATTACTACTAGTAATTTGTCTAGATATTAGTCTAATGACTTACAGTGGCTTAGTGCTTGGATACCTTTATAGCAAGAAAAATTAATTACTGCACATGGTCTTTTCCCCCTCATTTTCATGTAATACTAATACATTTTTGGAAGAAATCTATTCCCCAAATTGTCATGCTTTGTTTTCAGTCAGTTGTACTCGTGTTTCCTGAGCCCTGCTGGTGAAGCAAGGCTGTAACCACTGTCCTGCCAGGAGCTGGACACCCTGGTTAGGCCAAACATGAACTAGAAATGCAACCCACAGCTGTAACTTAAGGCTTACATTGTTTCTATTGACATCCAATAGGATTTTGGCTACAAAATTCTGTGAAGACAACCTACGATTCCTGAAGTCCACTTTTTAAAAGCACTGTCTTCTCATTTTAAGATGCTCTGCACTCTCATCTCCAAGCCATTCTGCAAAGAGCAGTGAGTGTCTTTGGACATCAAATACTACACATTAATCTGCCATGCACCTCCATAAAGCAAGTCTGAGTACTCCCCAAGAGATGAGGATGTTTAGCACCTCTGAAGAAGACCTTTTAAATGTGTGACTACATAAAGGCTTAAGGATATTTAGTGCTTTTGACAGTCCCACTAAGCCCTTAATACCCACCCAAATCTGACCTTTATGCTTCCATTTTAAGCACTGAGGTTCGAAAGTTTTGGACTATGAAAGTGGTTTAGTGATAAACCTGAGGAGATCTAATGTAACTTATACTTACAAAACCGACTGAATTCCTGGAAGGTTCCCCAAAATATAAAGTATTATGATGAGAAATCACATTTTAATTATCTTCAGGGTTTTATAATCTCAGCTGTACCAGACTCTATTGGCTCATTAGAAAAGGAGTGAGGATTTCAATTTTAAGAAGCAGGTTTTAAGAAAAGGCCCATCCACCTATATTGCATCTCAGATAAATAAAAATCCTACATTTCCACTATGAAGTCACACTGTGCCTGTTAAAAAGATGCAGATAGCAAGAAAAAATGACGATTTAGCAAACACATTTAAGCATTAGCATTCTTGTAAATATGTTTATGGTTATTGCTCTGGATTTGTCTGGAATTTAACAGGCTTTTAATGGCTTCATTTTGGAAATGGTTCTGCCTGAAGGAAAGGCTATGTGTGTATGTTCCTCTGTATTGCTCTCAGCTCATGTACAAAAATTAACAAACAGCATATTGACAGTATCAGCAGAATAGTCATCATTCCCCGGCTGAAATGATGTTGTACCATCCTTACACTTAGTTCTTCCATACAAAGCCTGAATAAACATGTCAAAGTTTTATGTCCCCCCTGCTTGAACTCATGCACTGATGGACCTGTAGGAAAGGGAGACTCAAAGTTCTGCTTCAAGCCCCTGTGTAAGCAAATCTAGAAGCACCTGCTCAGCTGAGCCAGTGCAGGAGCAGAACATTCCACGTGGCCGTGATCCAGACTGGCCGGGTTTCCACAGGTCACAACCCAACATCAGAACTGCACTGCAGGCACAACAGACCTGCAGGGTATCACACAGAGCATGTCTCAGCCTGCTGCCCTCAAACACCAGCTCACCAATGCTCACAGGTCAACAGCTCAGGCATGGATAACTTGGAGGCCTGGCAGAGGGCAGGGACACTTCCAGTTTCCTGGCTAAATGCATAGGCCAACACAGCCAGGTTTTGTGATTAGCCTAATTTTTCAAAACACTACAGCCACTTGGAATCACTCTGTACTGAAATAAAACTATTACTGATCTCAAACAAAGGGTTACAACCTTTTGTTGTGGGCAGAGAAAGGCTGGAACATCTGAAAAGGCCAGCATCAAGTCAGTAATAAAAATGAAAAGTTCAATATCCTGTGCCATTTAGGTTTCTTTTAAGCTTTTTTGAGGTCTTTTCTGGGGCAGCTAGAAACATTCCTTCCACACACAAACAATTAGTCTATTGTTAGGGCTTAGTTTTCAATCTAATATAGTACATTATAATTTAATATATCTGTTACAGTAGCACCTTGATTATTGTACAACTTTAAAGACAAGACATAGTCGCTATTTCATATTATCTGTAAGGTAATGGTGAATGTGGTTTAGATCCTAAAAGTAAAAAAGACAAAAATGGTTATCTGCTCATGAATAGTGCATTCATTCTAGTCTGAAACCCTTTCTCCTTTTAAAGTGTACCATGTAGTTCCCAAATTCAGAGCAATTACCCCCACCTCCCATCCTCCTGGCATCCTGTTGGAAAATAAACAGTACTGTGTTAATTGGAACCTGATAGAAATGGTAATGAAGTGTTTGTTTGTTTGTTTTCTTGGAGTGTGATAAAACCCTCTAAAAGATGCAACTTGGCATCAATGAATTTAGGGAATACACTATGTACATTAAATAGAGGTAAGTTGAGTCCAGAGTCATTTTCTTCTTCATTCAACTTCAGAAGTGGTGGTGGGGGGTGTCTTTAAGCAGCACCATCTGCACTCTGTGCCCTCCTCAGACCAGCCAAGATTCACAGTAAGAAAAGCAACAACAGCCGTGGGAAGAAGAATAACTGAGCAACAGTCACACTTGAGATTGTTCTCTGCAAAACTCCGTGGGGTCTGCAGGACTGTCCCGTGCTGACGTGGCCTATTTGTGACATACATGTATCCATAGGAGTGATGTCAGCCTTCATCCCTGCAGCAGTCAGTGCTTTGTTCAACAAGGCTGGGGGACTGCAATTGCAAGGTGAAGTTCTTCTTTCTTCGTTCAGCAATTAACCAGATTGCTGCTGTGTCTGTCTTTTGATTTAATTTTACAAGCCTCAGAGGGTTTAAAGAGCCGCTGCCTGAAGCACCTGCTTCTGAAATACTCGTGTGTATTTTTGCTTTCCTTTTTTACACTTTTCCATTCTCTGTTGCAGTTCCATGATGCTCCATGCTCCTGGGTTTCCTGCGTTTTCCTTCAGAGGCGAAATTACAGTGATCCTGACGCAGTTTGGGCACAGCCACAAATAGTCTGTTTGTCCTTCCTCTCTGTGTCTCATAGCTAGAAAAGCATCATTGTGCACACAGTCCTGTTGATTTCAGTGGATGAATCCAGTTCATCCATCGTGTTAGGCAGTCAAAAAAACCCAACGGAAAACTCAAACAAAAGAAATTGTCTAAATCCCAAACAGGCATCTTTGGAATCAGTAGTGCAAAATGTTTGCGGATTTCTTTTCCTTGACCTACTGCAATAATCTCTTAATCTTCAAGTCTTTCCTAAAATAGTGGATCTGTAAATTTAAAACATAAGGACAATGAAAAAAAAAAAAAGGCAAATGTAAAGTGTTTTGTTGTTTTTTGTTTGTTTGTTTTTAAATCACTCTCTTCAGATTCTCACTTATATCAAACCATTATACATCTCTTATAAAAGCTGTAAGTTGTTGGAAGATCCTCATTGTTAGGTATTCCTCATCTACACCAGGCTTTTGCATGGGTACAGCAAGCAGAGGGTATTCTTTAAATGGAGGATAATTTGAGATTACAATGAGCTTTTAACAGGGCAGCCTCAACTCTGCAGATTAGTTTTAAATGGAAGAAAGGTCCCTCAAAAGGTCACAGTTTAAATGCCTTCACTTCACAAACTGGCTATCAGTGCAGCACTTTAGAAATGAGCTGATAAAATGAGAGGTTACCTTAAGGATTTCCACCTGTCTTTTTCTGTCTGGTTTTCCGGACTTTCACTTTCATAGGAAGCCAGATACAAACCTGGAAAAGGTAAATATGTGTTATTCCAAGAACATCAGTAACTCCTCCCATTTCTCTGCGTTCTTGTGTGTCCTACATTGTACCACACAGCAACAGAAACTTTAAAACTTTATGGTCCATCAGGTGGCTGGTAATGAGTAGGACTGATGTTTAGCTCACATGTCTACCTTGGAAAGCTGTAAGGTTAATTTTCATGGAACAGTAAAGGACTCTGGAGTTAAAATATGTTAGCATGACCTCCTTTTAACAATATTAAGTAGTTGAATGGTCTCTGGTTTTCCATATAGAGGTCTGAGCCTATTTCCTTCATCACAGCACTGCTAACGAAGAGTTACACAAACACTAAAAAAGATAGACAGAGCTGACAGCTAAACACATAAGTTTTTAAAAAATAAGGATAGTCTCATCATTTAACACAATTTTATCTTCCTCAATCTTTTTAAAGCTTATGGGAACATGATATCTTAAATGGATACACAACACCCTTGAGGTAAGAGTGAGTTCCAGAAACCAGAGAAAGAATGCAGTGGAAGAAAATAAATGTCTTTTTTTTTTTTCTGCAAATTTTTACGCTGTAGGATGCATTTTATGACACCAAAATGTGTCTAGACTGTAGAGTTTCCCCTGCACAAGCTGGCAGTGCTTTAATATCTCACTGTCTTCACAGAATCACAGGCTGTGATTTGTGTTCACACACATTTCCTCATTTGACTGTTTCATGATGCTTTATTCTTTAATGCTGGAACCATCTCACTATTGAGGTCTGTGCTACAAATCAATTGCCTTTTAACACTTCAGTCCTGGCCCATGGTTCCACCACGCTGTGACAGGCACAGTGCAGCTGCAGTTCACATGCCACTGCAGCATCCCTCTCATATATCCTCCCACCTTTTACTGAGGGCAGGTCTTTCTACTCTGCACTTCCCCTGGGTAAGGGGAGAGGCCTCCTGTGGCTTCTGCAAAGGGCATCTCATGAAAGCAGTATGAATATGAGGGATGGCATGAGACAGAAAATCTGCAAACAATTAGTGGGTTGAGGTCACCCTTTTTCAGTCCAGTAGCCTAAAAACTGTACTTTTACCCCTGACTTTCATTTTCTGTCCCTACTGAGCCTAAAGCCAGAACAAATGCCTCCATCCTATCTCCTTTGGATAACACATGACTTTAATCACATTAATTATTCTGTTCCGGCAATTATTCTATTTTGGCAGTCATTCTTCTCAGGGTTTAGGCAGGATTTTAGAAGCGGTATTTTGTGTTCTGAAGTAGTCTGTGAAATAAAAGCTGTCTGGTCTGCTTACCTTGGATTAGCACAGAAAACTGCCTATAGAATCAAGAAAAAATAAACCCAACACCAGTTTAGCTTAGGGGAAGGTATCTATAGAGAATTTGCATGACAATGTACTGAGAGGCAGCTAACAATAGGAAATGACACAGTCTGACATGCTGGATACCAAACTGAAGAGGACAGATGAGCACAAAGAGACAATCAGAGAAATATTTTCAGGGCTTTCATAGCTACAGCTTAAATTAATTACTAGAAAAGGTTTCTTTAAAAATTCTTTTCCGTGGATAACGTGTTTCTTTGTTGGAGAGGAGGAGGTCAGCTGGACACCGTCGCCCTGGGCTGTGTTTACTGAAGAGATGACAGAGCTGGCTTGTGGAAGAGATTAGCTCTGGCTCCATCAATCACAGAATGAGTGGCTAAGGGACAGCTGACATTCACAGCAGTCCATGACGTGCTTGTGTGGCCTCTTTTTGTGACTGCAAAAATAAGGCCACAATGGCAACTTCCCAGACAGAGCCTCATAGAGAGGCTACAGACAAGAGAAAAGCAGCAGCTTTGTGTGTTAGAAGGTTATATTTGCAAAAACCCATGGATAGATTGGGGATGTGTCACACAAGCTGTGTGACAGGAAAGCTAGGAAAGAACTGGGACTGGTCAGTGAGAGAGAACACCAAAGCATGGAGCAGGGTGTTAATTAGTAGTGACAAAGAGACACATTTCTAATGATTAGAGATTGTACAGAGTCTTACCATCTTCAGTAAAAATGGGAGCAGTATGCAAGTAGTGGATGATGTTAGGGTCTTGCTCAAAGGGACATTCCACTTGCTTCCATGTTATAAATTCTCCTACTTGCTTAGCCAGTTCCAGAAATTTCTGTAAACATGAAATCATTCCACTCAGATTATCTCACATTCAGTGTTTGTTGGTCTGCACTGAAAATTGCAGGCAAACTGTCTCAGTGCTATCAGAATGGGATAGGTAAAAACATTGTTCAGATCTTACTTCAAAGTTGACGTGTCCATTTGGAAGGCGATTAGCACATCCTTCATTCAAAAAATAAATGTCTTTGATCAATAGGCTGAAGAAGGGGATCACAATCTGCGAAGAGAAACGACATAACTATTATCTTTCCAGTTCAGTATTTTCTCTGCATGAAAGAACAACTCAATTGGGAGAGAGGAGAATAAAGAAATATTAACTTTTCAGTGTGCTATGCACTTAAAAAGCAGCACAATAACAGGCAGGCAAAAGGGCAGTAGTGTATAGAGAGACCCTCAGCCATCAGGAGAATGTATGCTGAGATGAAAGTGAATGAACACAATGTTCACTGAGCACAATAACATGACTAAGAAAATGCTAATAATCCAGTTTATTATCAACAGCATCACTGCCTGATGACAAGATCAGACAGCAAAGAGCAAAATAACATTTCACAACTCTTCCCTTTTCTGTTGTGTCTTTGTAAGCAAAGATGCTGAATGCACAAACCAAGCAATTTAAAGACAGCTGGGAATCAAAGAACCAGTATTGTCCCTGAGAGGAAAGGCAGAATAAAATTTCATGACCAAGGACTCGTCTACAAACAGTTAATGGGAAGCTGTTTCATGTTCAACAGCTCCATGCATGGCTACCTCTCGAGGCATGTAATTTCCTTCCTGGTGCCTGATTAGTACAACCTGCTTCTCCAAATTAACCCACAGACAGTAGGATTGAAAACATTAAGCTGGCTGACAGGAAACTGCCAACAGTAGCCAGAGAGACCACTGTAGTGCTCAAAATTAGCCCTGGCCATCATCCAGGGCAGAGTGGTGTATGCAGTGATCCAAGCCTTCCCCCTAACCAACCAGAGGTGGGTCATAATTTGCTATAAAAGAAGTCTACTCTGTGTAAGACTCTTGAAATTAATGGAATTTCAACAGGGATAAATTTGATGCCAGATGTACAGCAGAACGCAGTAACAATGCTCCTTAAGTGAATCCCCAGCATTCCAGCAGAGATCCAGAGTGAAGCAGAGTCATTCCAGGTCCTCTTGTGAGACAACTCAAAGAGAAAAGAAAGGTAAGACAAAGGGCCAGTCCATGACAAGGCTGACTCCCAGGGCTCTGGGGTTTGATAGTCAAATCTCAGTCTCCCCACCTCTCCAGCACTGACACACAACAGAAAAAGGCTGCTTGGAGGGTTTGAGCTGTAAGGTCAGCAGCCTCTGAGAGCATTTTCCTGTGGCAGCAACACCTGTCTTTTAAGCCACCAAGTATAAACTTAATCACCACAAACATGAAGGAAAGCACAGTGCATGGCAGTGTCCAAATGATTCCACTGGTCTGCTTGTATATTAACTGAACTGTAGCTTGTTAAGCAGCACCAAAGCTAAAGTGCCTTCATGGTAAGTAAGACCAGCCAAGGCAGCAATCCTTTCGTTAAGTATTTAATGTTGCATTGTTATTCCATCTCATGCTGTACATTAGCTGTAATGGGATATGAAATGGACCTAGAACAGGATTGGCAGCTGTTATTTTCCAGTTTACAGCCTTCGTGTTGCTAGGAGTGCAAACAAGTCACAGACATGAAAACACTCACTGAGGCAAGGAGTCCACAAGGCACTACCAACACGTGCTGTGAAAATGGAAGCCAACTTCTGTTCCAGCTAAAATACCACATCCAGTAAACAGCTAAAGATCTGCATCTCTGCTGGATTTTTTATGGGACAGATAAACTCTGTAATGCCACTGCAGTACCCATAAAAAAGCCTGGACTGACACTCCAAGAGCCATTGGCATTATCCTGATAAAATTCAGAATGAAAACAAAGCACATCCTATTCCCCCAAAATGTTGAGCCCTCCTATCAGGGTCAGGTGGAGCAATTTCTAGGCAAACTGAGCTAAGTGTGTTTCAGGACTCATTTTCACAATATTCAAACTAGATCAACAAACTTGCAGTAAACAATATAATTTAGTCTATGTGATTTATTTTCTACCAAAAATGATGATGACCACTGTAACCACTGTGGATAGATGGAGAGCTGGAGCCAGACACTGATCCACAGCTAGAAATGACTGCCAAGTTCTGTCTACATATTTTTTTTGCAGGCAGATGCGAGCTTGTCCTGCCCTGCTCCACACTGCCTGGGAGCAAGGTCATCACCATTAGTGGTACTGAACAGGAGTGAAAAGCCTTGCTGAGAGGGAAGGTACATGAATGTGGGCTCAATGCCATGCTAATACAGCTACAAAGCCACCAGTCAGCTGAGAACATGGCAGAGCTTGTTCTCATCTGGATCCAGAAGGTGCCAAAGGCATACCCGAGGATACCAGTTCTTTACACATTTTCATGGGATTTCTGTCTTTGGGTCACCATTTATTTCCCCAATAAAAATATATTATCCAGTATGTTTTGCTTTCCAAATTTATGTAGGAAAACCAACAAAAGTGCTTTGGCTTCAATCCAGGCACTTTACTAGCATAAAATCTGGGTTAGTGCCAGAAACTCATATTTCTCTCTGTTTTGATCCCCCCACCCCATGCCATCCAACCCACCCACATGATGAAGCACAACTGCCTCCTGCAGAAAGAAGGAAGTTAATGAGATCCAACATGTTCTTCCTCCACAGTATCAGACAGCAACAACACATGGCACTGCACTGTACATACTCCCAGCATTTCAAAGCCAGGGACAAGTCATTAGCAGAGTGCAGGGTTTCCCTGTGGAATGACTTAATTTTGGAGGTGTCACAGGTCGTTTGACTGTGACAAAACCAGACTTAGTTACTAATGAGTAACACCCCTCTGCCAGCACAGTTCACTTTGAAGATAAAAATTTTCTTCAGAGTGAGCTTTGCTATGCGTTTGCCAAGAAGCAACATAACATTTGCTATCAAAAAAAGTGATCATGTTCTTTCAATTTTCTTCAAGCTCATTAAAACAAATAAGTCTAGCTTATAAAAAGAAACAATATTCCTTAATCCTACAGCAAGCATTACATGATCTGCTTTATCTGACACTGTAAAATACTGTTTGAATAGCTACCAAATCATATCCTGGAGCATTTTCTTGAACTAATGTTCAGAAAACAGAATATGGCTTTTTCTGATGTAAAGTAGATTGCTTTTGATCTAATAACCTCTCTGCCCTCAGTATTAACCAGCTAGGGGTTGAGATATGACAGAGATTGCTGACTTCACAGGAAGTTAAGTCAAACTATAAAGAATTGGTTTGAATATCTATCATGGTCACAGAAGCACCTCAGACTGACAGGTCCTCACTGCAGTGCGTGAGAGTTAAAAGAATTTCTTTGCCAGTCCCAAACATCCAAAGCCATCATCCCTCCTTTGCACAGAGAAGTGCTTTTCAGAACAACTCAGTGTACTCCCATTGCAGCTGAGTCAGCCTGCCACCAGATGCTGATCTCATTTCACTGTAAATGCTGGGACATTCCATTAGCTTCAGCAGATTTACATCAAATTTACAGGGGTGTGAGATTAGCATCTGGTCTGGCTCCTCTAGTGAATGAATACTAAATTCCATATTATTCTTGTTCCTGCAGTATCTACTTTACCTTTGCCATGCCCTGTGCAGAGATTACCCATTTCTGACTGTGGACACTTGTAGCGTTAAATACAAACCCTCTTCCATAAAACAAAAAAAAATAGAGAATTGAATGGAGAAATAAGAAAATTAACAAGAAACACACTGGAGCACAAAACAGGAGGATCCTGCACTCCAACATCTTGTCAGTCTGATTTTTGCAGCATCAGTGACATGTCAGAAAGCTCCGTATCTGCCCTGAACACTTGATGAAACACTTCAATTCTTGCTCACTGAGATGGCAGCAACGAATGAAATGAAAATTCACAAGGACAGAATATCACTCCAAATTTGCTGCAGTGGATTCAGACTAGACTCCTTTGCAGTGCTTGTGGTAAGTCATCTTTCCCTAATGTAACTGGAGAACCACCTCGTCTCCAGTGCTGTGCCCTCTCTCTCCATCTCACATCACACTCTGCACAACAGGGGCTTGTCTGCCAGAGCCTTGAGCACGGTTGTACCAAAGCACAGTTCCACCTGGGCCTGCCAGGCTGATGCTCCAAAATAAAAGTCATTTTAGGCTGGAATACCTGTTCCATCAGGTTTATCAATCTAAACAATGTGAATTTCCCAGGGATATAGAGATGTTTGTAACAACATCCTCCACGCTGTGTGTCCTGCCCTCTCCAGCCCCCCGGTGTCTCAGAGCAAGTCCACAAAGCCCTTGGATCCACTTCAGACTCTTTCAGCCACAGATTTACATTTCCAGTTGCATTCAGCAGGACACAAGCCTCGCACTGGTGACCCATGGAAGGGAGGACAGCATCTGCATCAAGCCTTTGAGCCACTGGCTCCCAGCAGCAATGCATTGCACCCCTGTGGAGATGGATGAGATGTGGTCACACCCACCTTCTCCCTGTTGCTGTGTGCCGTCAGGGACCTGTGGGCAGCCCCCCTCAGTGCTGTTCGGTAGTTGTAGAAGTTACCAGTGGGGTCCATCTGGTGCTGGATGCACAAAAGAAGAACACTGTTGGTTAGAAAGCAACCCGGGTCCTCCAAAAACAACTTTACACTCAGCTGTAGCAAACCCTGAGCAGAGCTTAGCCTACATCTTGAAAAGGTACATCTTCAAAATCCACACACCCACAGAACTCCACGCACCAAAGACGCAGTGAGAGGTTACAGCCCATGGCTGTTCACACCTCTGATTTTTCTACTAACAGCTTACTGAGCTTTTATGTGAAAGAATAAGGACTACACTATATCTGCCAAAGAATCTTCAATACAAAAAAACCGACCTTGGGCCACTGTTCACTCAACATCCAAGGTATAGACTCGGAACTTTACATTCAGCATCAATGGAAGCACTATGGCATATAGGCTCATATTTCTGGTTTTTTTTATTTCTCCTATTTATTTGAGTGTCTGAATCCCCTTTACATATCAGCAGATTCACACCTTCCTCACTACACCTGGGAAATTTCCCCTTAGAATCTGGCCCTCTGCTTGTGAAACGTGTCTGCAAACATCTCATACCTGGGTAACAATGTGAAAATTCCCAAACAAAAAAATTCAGAATATAATTCAAGCAGTACATCAGCACGTTTCTTTAATTTTTCTCTTCTTTACCTCGAGAATGAAAAATTTGGCTGTTTTCACTTTTGACCAAGTCTTCTTTAGCCTGGAAACTGGGCTCATGTTCATTCCAGCTATGAGTGAGAGAGAAAAAAAGAGAGCCATGGATAAGAATCGGGCTTCCTTTTCCATCTGAGACAGCTGATGGAGAGACATGGTTAGAAGCTGTACTTACAAATGATTGCCATCAGCGAATTAAAATTCCCTATGTTAAAGCACTCTCGGGCAACATCAATGAAGAATTCAATGACTTGTGCTCGCTGTTTCTTTTTTGCAGGCTGTAAATTAAAATAAATGAATATCTGTAATAAGCAGAGGCAGAATTGGAGGTCATCCTAGGCATTTGTACCATGTATAGCATGGTTATATGCACAGTTTGGACCATCTGCTATCAGTCACTGGCCCTAATTCTGTTCCAGCAATCCAGTGGATGCTGGTGACTGGCAGCCTCCAAAATCAAAGCTCTCATGGCAGTGACACAGAAGAAACCCACAGCAATCCCCAGGCTCGCCTCAGTGACTGTTCAATGCTGGAACACGCAGCCCAAGCAGGGCCTCAGCTCCCTGCTGGCCTCCCTCCAGTCACTGGGCACATCAGCACAGACTTTCCTAAGGGCAGGATTTCACACCCATATAGCAGCAGCATCCTTGTCCCAGAAAGAGTTTGTTTCATTGCATTAATCCCTTTCCCCTCTTCTGTCCCTTCCAGCAATACAGCCAGGCCAAACAGTAGTGTGCATTTTAAATACACATTTTAATTTGACTGGAATCATCCTCCCTTTCCCAAAGATGATCTTCAAGTGGTAATTCAAAAGAGCCAGGCTGTCCAGGCTCTTTAAACTATTATTATTCCTGCCTTCCACACCCTTTTCAAAGGGGAAAACATTGATTTCATTTTGATGGGGCCAAATAAAACAAACTAAAACCATGACCAAGTGAAGAAACAACAGTCACAGCTACAGTAATGGGCAATGGGACAAAGAGCCATGCAGTGGGAATTTACACACACAACAGAGCCTTAGGATGACAGGTAACAAATACGGCTCCACCAGAATCTTTTCCGGCAGAAATCTCACAGGATAATTCGAGGCATTTTTGACTCTCTTTTTCCCTGCAGGGTTCATTATTCCACACTGTGCTCCTACTACATCAAGAGAACAGTGCATCCCTCGTGTGCTTTGCAATATGTTTGTCATTTATCAGGTCGCTTCTGCAAGTGCAGTATCACTAAAACTTCCCATCAGATGCTTTGCTGGGTCATAAGAAATAAATCCCCAGGTTTGCTTATTAATGTAAGATCTCAGAGTGGTACCTCAGGCATGTGGTAAAACACGCCACATACTTTTGACTTACCATGCAAATTTCTGTTGCTACGAGATAGCAGAGTCTGTTGAACCATTTCACATAGGCCTCAAGGTTACTCGTCTTCTTCTGTTCACTGAAACAAGGCTGGGGTGGGGGGAAAAGCACAGAAAGATCTAACTGTGTTCCAGGTAGCTGGCTGATCACTAAGATAAATGCTGCACAAAGGTGATGATGACTGGCCACATCTCTCTCATGCATGTGGAAGACTGTGCACTGAGGGCCCCTTTTAAAAAGTCCCTGGGTGGGTGGGTGGGTGGCAGAGGGGGGTTCAGCTGAGTGTGTCACACTGCACCATTCACACTGGGGCACAGAAAACAGCCCATTTTGCCTGCAGCAAGTGTTCACTGGCACGGGCTGCACTGACCCTTGGTCACTGAGATATGAACAGCTGGGGCATTGCAGGCTTCTGACAGCAACAAGAATATGCAGACAAAATAAGACAGGCACAGCCTTCCACAGCATGCCCAGTCTGTGGCCTTGATTTTGGGACTTCCTTCAGTAAATGCAGTCACCCTCAGCCCTTTTCTGGAGGGGAGAGACTGGAATTTAGTGAAGTGTGCAAGAGATAAGCAAGAGAAAACACAGTTCTAGTTGGTTCTTTATGAAAAAAACCCCAAACTATTTCCCTGATTGAGTTTTCAGGAAAACAGGCTCTTAGTGACCAGCTCTGCCGTGATGGCTGCACTTGAACAGGTCACTTACATGCCAGAGACACTTCAGTGATAAGAGCCATTACAGGAAGCACATTTTTCACTTACTTATATAAAACTGAACATAAATTCCCATAACTGATACAGGTTGTGGGAGCAGATACTTGGCTGAACTCTTCCACTTCCTCTGTCATCAACAGATAATTTGACTTCAGAGGAGTGATAGGGCAGTTTGCACAGCCTGAAGATGTTGCTTTGGATTATAAGAATTCAAGTCCTTTTCCCAGCCCTAAGTTGTTAGACAGTCCATGTAGGACACACAGCTCTCTGGAGTTCACGAAATTTGTTTGAACATTCATTAACATCCACTAGAGGGTACCAGAGAATACTGATTTTTTTTTTTTTTTTATTAGGATGATCATTTCCCAGCACTACTATAAACACGTGTCATTAAGAAGAAAATCACAATGCATAAGCATAGATCCATTAATGTCAATGGGATCACTCATATTATGTAAGGCAAACAAATGACTAAGAACCCCTTCAGTAATGGGGCTTAATTGGATTCCCAAGGTAATTCCAAGTAAGAAAACATTCACCTGTGATTCTGTATACGGGCGTGTTTAGAAACAGAAATCACAGTACCATGCTATGGAGGAGCAAAGCTTAACAAAGCTGGAATTCTGAGGCACTTTATGAATAGACTACATATACAGTAACAGTGTATTTTAAAAGCATCTCAAAAGTAAATGTCAGCAAGCAGCATGCAAATACCAGAAAACCCAAAGGAAACCCAAATCAGCCCCAGTCTACGCACAGCAGCTGCTTTTCATGAGCTCTGTTTCTTGTTCCCTGTTACAGCAAAAAATACACGAAACCCCATTTTTGTTCCAAATATGGTATTTCCATCTCAGCACTGTTGTCCTGTGCCAGGGCGTAAGGACCACAGATAATAACACAAAACTTGTGAAAAATGTGCAGCAGTTAAAGTTGAGACAGACTGCTTTATAAAGGTTAAGCTTTATAAATGGCAGCAATATTTAGCACCTCCCAAGCATCTTCCATCTGCAACTCAGAATGCTTGATAAACATTCATAAGTGAAGCCTTTTGAAGCCCTCGCACAAGAAAGATGTTTAATATGATCTTCTGCTGGAGGGAATTCAGACCTGAGCCAACTCCCTGTGTTCAAGAGGGGTGTTCTTCACAGGTCAGGGAAAATGTGACTCCACAAAGGGTTTGTGCTGCTGTGTTCAAAGACATGTCCAGAGAAGGGCAAAGGAGCTGGGGAAGGGTCTGGAGCACAAATCTGATGAGGAGTGGCTGAGGGAGCTGAGGGGGCTCAGCCTGGAGAAAAGGAGGCTCAGGGGGGACCTTCTTGCTCTCTATGACTTCCTGGAAGGAGGTTATAGTGCAAGAGAGGGGTTCCTTCTTAAAGAATGTGACCAGTTCCAGAATACCTGGAACTGCATCTCTGCCATTTCCCTCACCCTGAAACCAACTGCAGAATCTCTGTGGCTCCAAGAAGAAGAATGTTGCACTTCTCATTCATCCATCCATCCATCCATCCATCCATCCATCTTTTCATCATTACAAGCCCTTTGTGCAGCACTACAAACACATGTTCAGCATCCAGTAAGGAAATTCTGCCATTGATGTATGATCTCAGTGGGAGCCCACATGCAGTTCAGGGGAAGAATTTTCCACCCTCTTTCTTTTCAGACAATATGTGAAATCTCTGACTCTCCCTCTCCAGCTAGGAAGTCTCTTTCCTCATTGAGGCACTCACTGAAATGCTGCTTCAGACCCCAGTGGAATCAGTGGAAAGACTCCAAGTGGCTTTCACAGCCTTTGGATGAAGCCCTGGTCAGGCACTCCACTCCCTGTGGTGCTTTGGGTTAACAGCTGTTTGTGGAGAGAGAGGAGTACGTTGATTCATGATGCACTGACTCATTACTGTGGTGTCTGGGCACACACTCTGGGCATTACATCACATCCCGAGCCTCTAAGCCTTCAACAGAGGGAACAGACATTCCCTGGATGTGTAAAGCCACAAACCACCCATCCCAGTCAAAGCAGGTTGGGAGGAACAAGCCAGAAAACAGAACATCAGGGTGCTGGCCAGTCTTGTACTCTCACCAGGAAGGAATGGCAATGACCTGCCAGGGCAAGTTCTGCCAACAGGTCCCATCCTTGATGGGAGGACACTGGTCACCACTTGGCCTGGCCTTGGTCAGCACATGCCTCAGGCCCTGCTCCTGGGGACCTCATCACACCAGTTCATCTGGGCAAACATCACAGGAGACACTTTGCATGCAGAGAAACCATACCTTGGTGCCATCCAGAGGGTCTTTATGTACAAATGCCTGCACAAACTCCTCGGGTCCAATGTGACTTAACCTTTCCTGTTGGGGGGGAAGAGAGAGGGAAAAAATCAGAAAGCACCCCAGAATCTCCTATTTCCCTTGGTAAGGCATTGCCATTATCTGTCACCTCTGAATGGTGTTACTGAGCTGGTAGACAGCCAAGCAACACTACACATTAAAATTCATAAGAACAATTAGAACTATTTCAGCAGAAAGAAGAAAATGAGCATAAATATGTCTCATTACTGACAAGCCACAGTAAGAGTCCCCTCCACTATGCTGGATGCACAGGGCTCTGTCTGGGAGCCAGCAGACCTCAGTTCTGTGCTTGATGCTGCCTCAGACCTGCTATGGTCCAGCAAATAACTGTTTTAAATAAGCAGCAAATAATTCTTACTAACAACTAAGCATCAGACAGTTTCAGTGCAGAGTACTTGGTGTATCACATGTAGTAATGAAAAAGAAGGCAGAGAGCATTGGTTACAGTACAGTGGAATGAAAACCTCTCACTGCATCTGTTTTAAAAAGGCAGTGATGCCTCAGTTACAGGGAATCTCCCCTTGGAAGACAATTGTACTATGGAGGAAAAAAAAAACAAAAGCAAGAAAAAGACTCCAGGCAAAAGGAATTCTACTCTCTGGCTTAAGTTACATAAAGCAAAGAGAGCCAAGCCTGCATGTTCTGAAAACTAACCTAGGTGAGATGATCCTACATTTGGGGTTTCTGAACCACTCCACTTCTTGACAAATAGAATATCAACTACCTTCAGAATTCCCAAGGCTAATTTCATGATATTCACTCCAATCCACAATCCATTTCATGGTTTGCTTTCCCAGCCTTCCTCTCAAGGATGAACAGTGTCCACAGGACAGGCAGCAGGGAGTCATCAGAGCAACAGGAGATCTGCAGAGGGCAGCAATGTTTTACGTTCTCCTGTGCACATCCAGGAGGTCTGCAGGGAGGACCTGACCCTGGGAGAAGGGTGTGCAACACAACAGGCTGTCCAATGTTTTGGCACTGCAACTGGAGTGATTACCAACAAGAGCCTGTTTGGGAGAGGACTGCAGCCCAACGGGGGGAACAGCAGGACTTCTTGTGGGTGGTATCTGCACACCCAAAGGGAAGAATGAGAACCATATCAGACAACTCAGATGCTTTGTGTATCAAGAGGAATGGATTTGAACTGCTAAAATTCCTTCCAAATTGAGAAAAGAGTCAATGACCAGCCATTTCAACAGCACCTGCAGGTTGTGGGGCTCTGAGTACCTTATAGAAGTGACCTTCCTGGGACTTGACCTTCCTGGGACTGTGATTCACATTTCATAAATAAGCAAGCTGAAGTGCAGTGACCCTCCCCAACATGCACAGGAACACTCTGATTTACAGTTTTCTTCCCAAGCATCCCTTAACCTGTCAAACCCTGTCTCCTGCTGCAGTGCTGATACAGCATGGGATGTGCTGCAGCAGTGCAGACATTTTTTAGTTATGTCTGGAATACTTAGCAGCTGATGGCTTAAAATAATATCTCTGGCTGCAGAAGTTGGGAACCATTCCCACTTACCAGCTCCACATGTGTCAGCTGCTGAGCCAGAGTGTAGGGGTCACTGCAGACACTCAGGATTTCTCTCTGAATTGATGGGGGTTTAGTTTTAAAGGCAACGAGCTTGTCAGAGACAGCAGCACTGATCTTGACAATCCCTTCTTGCCCATGGCTGAGGGTGGCAAGCTTCTGATTCAGGGTTTGCAAAAGCTGATTCATCTTTTTCCAGTAGGCCTGGAGAGACAGAGAGAGAAAGAAACATAAGCCACTTAGAAAATTTGACAAAGGAGTGGTTTTGTGCTGAATTTTCCCTTCTGCAAGACACTCCTAAGCCAGCAACAGGTCACCATTTTATTTCCAACAACCCTATTTCAGAATAACCAGTTGGCTTAATTACAGTTCTCTGCTCTGGACCACAGAAAGAGACTGCAGTCAAGAGAAGAGGCAGGCAGGACTGGTGGGTTGGGCTGGCACTGATACTCCCATATTCCTGCCAAAATCAGGGTCAGAGGAGAGGGAATGCTACAACATGAGTTACTGCAGCTTTCTGGAGCACAGCACCATTCAGTACCTATCCTTTATACCAGCTGCATGTTGGCTGAGTACTCTACCTGTTAATGCTGCCTTGTCAACTCTTATTTATTAGGAGTAAGAAATGTTTCTAACACTATTCTCTCCATCCTTTTGAGCTGAATGCAGCAGGAGCATGCTGCTGCTTGCTACCCAGGTGGAGTGGTTGGAGCATTGTGTAGCTTTGAGTATTTAACATCCAAAATGTTAATTGCTACTGAAGGAAACTCATACTGTATTCTGAGCACAGCCATGTGCTCAGCAGGATGATCATTACTAAGGTGCCCAGGTTGTTCTCAGAGCTGGAGCAGCTCCTTACAGACAATGAGTGGAGCTGCTGGCCATGGAGGATGGGCAGAAAGAAATTACTTCAGCTCTTCATGACTGACAGATGCAGACATCACAGGACTGAGATAACGGAGAGAACAGGTAGATGGGCTCTAAAGACAAGGATTGACTGGAAATGCCCTTGGCAAGAGCCAGACATGGAGGATGAACTATACCCTGCTGAGGAATATGGTCACATGGGTTTTCCCAGCCAGAGAAATGAGCACTGGGCATGGGTGCAAGGGGTGCTTGCCCAATTTCAAAGAGCATGATCACTTGGGAGAACAGTTTACAGGTTGGTGACTACCAGCAACTCTTCTGGCATGAAGACACACAGCGGAGAGATCCCCTGGCTGCTCACGAGTGGAATAACTCCTCGCTCCCCATCCAAACAAGATTTGATAATGACAAGTTGCCAGTAACATCAGTTTGTCATCTGTCAGTGAGGAACCTGGGCTGGCAAGGAGCCTCTGTTCCACCTGCACTGCACAGATGTTCACCCTGGCACCCTGCACACCCTGCTCGTCATCAGCACAGAAGCTGGGGGAGATGGTGCCTCCCATAAAGACCAGCACACACTTGTGTCACGTCCCAAGCTGGACACAGCCCAAGGAAGCTCTTGGGAAGTACTGAATCCTGTGGTTTAGATCCAGCCTTTGTCTCCTTCAGAGTTTTGTAGGCTGTGGATAGTCTTCGGTGTTAGGCATTGATAGCACTTGTGTTTAAGGAACCAGAAACCAGAGTCAGTGCCCTTTTTCCTACACAGAATCCCATTTGCACCCTGGAAGTAGCCATTCTTCTGCTTCACAGTGAAGAATAACATGAATACTGTGCCTTCATTACAGGAAAGGCTGGAGACTTTTAGAATATCCCAAGTGCTTCAACTTTTGAGGCAACACTTTGTAACTTTTACGCATCTTTTCTAACAGAAGGTTTCACGTTGCTGAGGACCCTCTCCTTCCACTCAAGGAAGACATCCTCTTGAGCTGGCCCAGAATGTGGGCCAGACAAGCAGGATGTAGACAGGCTTTTTAAAAAAAAAAAAAAAAAAAAAAAAAGCTGTTAAGTCTGAAATGAAGCAAGCATCTAGAAGGCAAGAGGACTTGTCTTGGAGAATGACAACACAGAATGCATTTGGAAGCAAATCACACAGGAAGAGCGAAAATTGAGTGAGGAAAATAAAAGCCCACCCTCATTTTTTATCTGTTATGGATGTATATTAGCTCCAAGCAAAAGAGACTACAGGCCTTCTTCATGTAACTCCTCATGCAAACAGGTGGTCACACTTTTGATTTACAAAGACTGTTCCGGACTCGAACTACTGACCACCATCTAAATATTTCTCTGTTTTACATCCAGGTGTGTTTGCAAATCTGCTTATGAACACAATGTTATTTTTTAGTGAAAACTCAAATAGTGACATATTTGGGTTTTTGTGAACACATTTTGTAAACAGGGAAACTAATTGGGGAGGGGGGGGTGGGCAGGCACAGCACTGAAATCCAAGTTTTCTAATGAATATAAAACATCTGGCTAAAAGGCTTCTTTCTAAGAGGAGTTCGGATGAGAAATCTTGGACCAGCCATGTCTGTGCAGCACCAAATTCTTCACTGTTTGGATGAAAAGCCAAAAAGCCGCATAAAATTGCTTGGAAGACATGCATATTAGCCAGTCATTCAATAGATCCTTATCAAGAGATCTAGTTTCACTTGGTTTTGTAGAGAATATGGCACAAAAACCAGATATAGACAACAGTAATCGAATACTCAGGTAAGCCAATCACCTAATAAAGAATGAAATGAGAGAGACACTTAAGGGACACAAAAAATTCCACAGAAATTAGAGCTCTTGAAGATACAAGTGGTTGGATGCACCCTTGCCCAGAAAGCTTTTCTGTGTGCACTGGAGAAAAAATTACAAAAAAAAGTAAAAAAAAAAAAATCCTGCTTTTGCCCTTGTAAAAGCATTTCCTGCCTTCTTTAAACCACAATCACTAAGTGAAAACAACATTGTTCATTACCTTCAATGTGCTGGTAATTATCTTGCCACAAAGTGACCCCCCACTGTACAGGGGCTGCATGCTGGACTCCATCAACCAATTTCACTTCACTGCCACATTAACAGTCAAAAGAAGCAACTACTGTTTAATATTTAAAGAAAATGTTTCGTTCTTAACTAGGAAAGTTCCTCTGAAGACAGCAGGCCTCAGCAGGTGGCTTAGGAGCTCAAATTTTAATTAAAATTTCTAGCTCTAAATGCAAATCACAGCACTTACTCAGAAATGCTTCTCAGCATGGACACCTTTCTAAGCACATCACAGAGCCTTCAGAAAGTGGACTCTACAAAGGACAGGAGCACACACTGCAGGGGAAAATCCTGCACTGACCTACATGGACTGCATGACATCACAAATCTTTCAGTCTTTATTTTCTCTGGTTCACAACAGGAACAACTTTCCTTCGAACAACTAACGGGCACCACCACTCCTCTGTGCTGTCCCTTAAAAAAGGCAATTTGCATTGTAGGATATGAGCTGTTTCTTAAATTAATTATTGATTTTGCTCAGGCATAATCACTTGCAATCACAGTGCCTGGTAATATCTGAAAAACAACGATTTGAGACTAATGTAGTCTGAGGGCTCCCAGGGCACCCACAAGCATTGGTACACAGCCATGCACTCTCCAGAGCAAAGGTGTGCAGTGCTTGCTCAGGTTAGACAAATAAACTATTGCTTTGTATGCAAAGTTGATTTACAGCATTTATGGCTCTTCACCAGGGCAACTACTGCTTTTAAAGAGCACACACAAAGCCCCTCTTCTTTGCTCTTTGGCTGGTTCCTTCTTCCCAGTGGACATGATGTTGGTGGGTCTGTATGGGTTTCTCTCACTGATGCTGAAGGGCTCCAAGGCACCTTTTGTGGTGGTTGGCAGGAGCAAGTCCATTGCCTCTTCCCCTAGAGGGAGTTTCACTACTCTAGTTAATGGAACTGAAGCCACTTGGGCTCTTTTCTGAGTTCATTTTTGTTCCCTTCACCTCCATCACTGTGTCACACAGCTTCCCCTTCCCACCCCTTCTCTCCCACAGGCTGGCCAGCCCAGCCAGTGGATCCAGGCCAGCCTACAGCTCCCTGAAAGTGCCAGACATGATGCCAGCCCAGCCCAAGGGCAGCTGTTCCCATCTCTGACATATTTCATGTGCGTAGGAGGGCCCAATTTCATTTCTGTTGTGCTGCAGCCCTGCTGATTCCTTCTCTCCTCTCTCAGCCTCATGGGTATGTTCTTGTTGTTCTACTGAACTGCAGCCTTCTGTGGCTTGAGGCCAGGCCTTCATGTAGCCAATGGAACTGAATTCTTCCACATCCCATGGTCAACCTAGAAGTAATTAGAGACTCTCTGTGTACTATTTGCTTATTATTTTTGTGGACTTTGTGGTCTTTTTATGAGGTTCACCCACCTGAATTTGCAAGCAGGTCTCCCAGAGACTCCATTCACTGTGATCTATTCTGCCACACACACAGCTCATGTTTGAACAGAGACCATACAGACATCTACCCTGAGCTGCTGCTCAGCAGGCCACACACTGCTGTCTTCTGCCACTTTCATGCTCCCAGAGAAGCTACATGTTCATTAATATTTGCATTTTCTTCAAACATAAGAACTTAAACGTAGAGAAGCTGTGGATGCCCCATCCCTGGAAGTGTTCAAGGCCAGGCTGGATGGGGCTCTGAGCAACCCAGTCTAGTGAAAGGTGTCTCCACCCACGGCAGGGGGTTGGAATGAGATGGTCTTTAAGGTCCCTTTGAACCCAAACCATCCCGTGATTCTGTGATTCTAACTTGGGAGATCACAGCTCTGTTGCTATTTGAATTGTCACCAGCACATTCAGTCTATGCTATGCCTTCATATATTCCTTCTGTAAAACGGGAATATTGTTATCCTACAATTCCATGTGCAGTAGATAAATTCTACTGATCGCTCTGATGTGTCCCCATGTCACTGCCAAGGAGAACCTAAAGTGAGAGATGTGGCTTTCAGGGAAGCTACTGCAGGTTTTTCCCGTTGCAGGAAAACAAAACTGTGAGAGTATCCAGGAAGAGGCATGGAACAGAATGTGGCAAAAGGAGGAAACCAAGTGGAAAAATGAACTTAACATCTTAACACAACATCCAAGATCAGGCATCCTCACCTCATCACACGGGGCTATCCTGTGAATCATGTCTTTCAGATGGCCGATCATCCGCTCTTCCTGAAAGTCATACGGGAATGTCTCTGTCCACTCCGTCAGCAGCTGTAAGATTTTGGGTCCAAATTTTCTGATTCGAGCCTGAAATGGAAATCATTGAATGATGGACAGGGATTGAAATGTGTTTACTCCTTAAAGTCTCCCAGCAAATATATGTGTCACTGAACGTGGGGCCAGATTTTCAAAGAAGGCATTTATGGTTGCACCTGCAAAATCTGCCACTTGCATACAAACAGTGGGGTGCACAAATGATACACTTGGGCATGCAAAATACACCAGCACTTAGATGCATGCATAACTGTCTGGTTTACATGTAGATTTAAGTATTCTGCACATGCAGTTGTCTGGTTTATGGCTGGGTAGACATTTTGTTGGTGCAACCTTTATACCTTCTTTAAAAACGTCTGGCCTTTTTGCTGATTTGAACCATTTGTACTTACAACCCTGTTACATTTTCATCCTTCTCTGAAAAATTGATTGGAATGAATTTCTTGACCAACAAAGAGGGTTTTTTTTTGCTTCTTTGCTTTCTGGCTGTATGAAAAAACTACTTAGTGACCAGTGGCAGATGTAAGATGAAGAAAAGACGGACAAAACAGCAGCACTTTAGTAACTTGACCTGGGCTACTGATAATGTTGCTCTCTTCCCATATGAGCTCAAGGTCATGATAGGACAAGGACACTCAGTCATATAACACACAGCTGATATCCACTTTACTTTTGATGTAGATTTATCAGAGGATGCAGCAGTGGGAATAGTCAGGATGATATGGGGCAAGGAGGGAAATGTGGGGAATAGCACAGTTGGTGCATTAGTGCTATCTCAAAAGATGGCCAGCACAGCTGCTCCCAAAGCTTTCATCCTCTGTTATCCAAGAACATGTGAAAAGAAAATTGTGTTAAACAACAAACTGCATTTTTATTTACAGAAAACAAGACTGAAACAAACAGCCTTCTTCTGTATCCTACGTACTGCAGCTAAAGTGTACCCTGTAATCAGGAAAAATTATACTCTTAAGCTCCCCAGCTCTTTGTTTTTCAACCAAGGTGGTTAAAATGCATATTTCAGCTTTCCACCAACAACAGGTTTCAATGAACCACATCTCTAAAAATAACTGCTGTCAGCTAGCATTAAGCTCAGGCTCAAAGACCAGCAGGTGGCTGCTAAAGGGGAAGCTTTATTGGAAACTACAAAGGTCTGAGGAGACATTTGCTCCAGCTGTGTAAACTGTATTACCAATCGATGGAGGGGACTTTGTGCAAGTCACAGGACACAGGGGATGGGAGGTCTCTTGTGTGCAAAGTTGCAAAGTGGGCCCCACTCTCAGGAACACAAAATCAGCTGTGTCCCACCCACCCTGTGTTACTACAAAACACAGATTCACTCCAGGCAGATAAGAGATCTTTGTAGTAAGATAGCTTTTCTCATTTCTTGAAAGTGTAATGAGCAGCAAAACTGTGCAATGCTCATATTTAATCCTCCTGAACTTGTATCTGTCATAGAATTGGAGAGCAGAACCTATCACAGCTTATAAAACCTGTTTTGCTTGGTGCACTTCACACAAATATTTCTATTAACAAAGAGTGTATGGGCAATCCGAGTCTCGGATTGCTGAGTAGTCTGGTGAATGGCTCTCCACAGTGAAGGCAGAGCTCCTGTTACTCATGCAACCAGGTGCCTGTGCAAAAACAAGCACAGGTGTTCAGATGTTGGTGACTCAGTATCTGATGCCAAAACCACTGTTTCAAAGCTGGAAAGGCTGATCCCGAGAATCATTTCAGAATTTTGGGGGTTCTGGAAAGTTGCAACTAATGCATGTTCTTCTTCCCCCCCCGTACTGCTCTGAAGGTGCATCTCCTGCTCCAGGTAATGCACAGGATAGGTCTTCAATGTACCCAGGAGAGCTTGGGCAGAATCCAGCACTGAACAGGATCCAGTGGGATCCGTCACCACCGTGGCACTGCCAGAGGGTGCACATGTGTTGCTACACACTGTATCAGCCTGCACAGTCCCTGGGGCAAAGCAGGAGGAGTGCTGAGGCACAAACAGCTTGGATTTTCTCATCTGTTTGCCTGTCACAGCCTCACTGCTGTTTCCACTCGTTCCTGGTGTGCCAGGCAGTGCCACCAGCGTGCAGCCGGTCTGTCAGCACTGAGGTGAGTGGGTACCTGCACGCTGTTACAGAGTGTTCGGAGGCACAGGGAAGGCCAGGAGGAAATATTACTGTGCTAGAAGCAAGAAAGCAAAAGGGCAGAGGCATTGAGTAAAAATGGGAGAGTGGTGTGTCGACATCTGCAGCTGACAGTGAGTGAGGTTCACGTCCTACCTCCTTGCATCCCGCAGGCTTCATCAGAGCCTTAAAGAAGTTAAGAAGAAAAGTCACCTGGGAAGACTGAGACAGGGGGAAAGGGAAAATTAGAAGAAGATTTGAAGTGATTAGTGCCTGGAGCACTGCTCTCAGACATGGATACTAGGACACCTCAATGTCAGGATTTCAGCGGCAGCCATCATCCTTTGTGAGAAAGCTTCGTTCAACCCAAAGGGAGGCAAAGGACACACAGCAAAGCCCTGGAATTCTCTGCCCATTGGAAACACCTCACATTTTTCTGCTGCAAAGATAAACTAACCTTGTCCAGCACGGGGTCATCCAGCCGCTGCTGCTCAATGCACTTGTGACAAACTCGGGACAAAAGCTCATGGGGTTCGATGAAGAGTCTGGAACTCAGCAGGAATGTAAAGATATAGGCTTTCTGTGGGAGAAACACAAGCAGACTGGCTGTAAGCAGCCACAGAGTGGGTAATATTGACCATAAAAGCCCTGAACTCCACAGTTTTTTGTGTTTTCACTGGGCAAGACCTTTATGTCTGGAAGACATAAGGATTCCTGACCCTGCATATGGAACTGGTTATACTGGGTGCAGGAGGCAGTGGCATCTCTTCTCCACAGCATCCACTTCCAGCCCTTGCTTGCCTAAATATCCAGCAAAGACAGTGTGTAGGTCACTGTGCAGGAGCAAGCCCAGGTACAGGAGACAGCATAACCAGGATACTGGGAGTAAATCTAAATGTGCAAACACTCAGGAATCTCTGTGTTGTACTGGGTTGGGAGCTGCAGACACCCCCACATTAGCTACATCTTGCTCCTGCCCTGCAAATTGCATCCAGCCTGTTTTAACCAATATTTCATTTATTCTACTAACTCCCCAAAATTCATTTCTATCAGCCAAGTCACATCATATGCAGTTCCACATCTGTGAAGCTGTGGGAGGCAGGTCTGCTGGATAAATCCTTGGATTATTTAAATTATCCCAGCAGTGAATTTAAAATATATGCATGAAGCCTCAGTTGCTTGCATCCTGACCCCGCCTGGCACCTGAATTATCTTCTTTCCCCCAGCCCTAGCCATGCTCCTGAGCAGCAGGTATAATATTACATATCACACATTGCTTAATGAAAATCTCACAGCCTGATCTGTCCATTACCTATTTTTATTGCCTTTCTATTCCTTTTTTTTTTTAATTGAGATGCTTCTTCATTACTTATTTTTAGCTGATCAGAAACTGAGCTCCGGGTAATTTAAAATATGCTGCCTGCTCTGCATTGATAACTTTCCTAGTCTTCTAAAGTGCCCAGAAGTCAATGATACTCTGTGCTTTGAAATACAAGCCTTTCCATGGAGATATATTAGCACTTAAAAGTCTTCCAGCCAAACTGTGTCTGAATTCCATGGAGGCTGTGCAAAATCCAATGAAGTCAATAGCTTGCAGGACCATAAACCTGCTTCCAGTTTAGATCCTCACACTGCTGGTGAAGAAAAACAATATTCACCGATGGAGCAAGGATTAGGATCTGGGCTGTGCTGTCCAGGGACTGCAAAGCTGGTGTGACTGGTAAATTATGAACCCATCAGAAGAAGCATCTCTGTTGTCACCGAGGGAATGCTTTGTACATACAGGCAAACCTGGCTGACTTCAGCAGCCACTGAAATTCAGCTAATTTAATGCCAGTTCAGACTTGGAAGTTTTTTGCTTCAGTGTTCCTCTAAACCTCTTTGGGATGCACTGCTATTTTTAAACTGTTCCAACTGCTACATCACTAATTCATCACCAGGACAGCTCCCCCCAACCCTGCTCTCTTATTTAAAGGCAGTATCATCTTTGGGATCTGCTTTTTCATGGGAACAATTATAGAGCAGTGAAGCAGCATTTAAAGCAATGCATCAATTTACCAAGCTTTAATTGTATGCAGCTTTTAAATTAGCCTTCTTAATTCAAAATTTAACACATTTGCACTTTTTGCATAAAGTGCTGCCCCAGTTCATCAGAATTAAACCGTCTATTATCCCTTGAATTGCTTACTTCAGGGTAGTAATCAGTGGTAGGTATCAGATGCTGGATTAGAGCATCCAGAGATGCTGAGGTAAGGTTTCCATCCTGGAAGATCAGTCCTCCTTGTTCACCTTCTTTTGAAGTATGTAGATGAGGGCTGAAGCCACATGGGGTAAACATACTGGTAGAACTCAGCGTTTGGGGCATGCCTTCCTGCAAGAGAGAGACAAGACCCGTCAGACCCACGGCCACTTCTGTCTCCTGGTTGATTTGAAAAACACAAGACACCAACGAGAGTTTCTTGTTCACAAAATGAACACAGTCCCTTCACGATAACTGCTTTTATTGCTGGCATTGGCAGATCATGCCTGTGATGGGAAGCACACAGGAAAATGTGACATTTTGAGTTGGTTTCGGGCCAGAAGGTGATGGCAGCTACTTTGGGCTCCCAATCCCAACAAGAGTGTCTGTGGTGATTCCCTTTCTGCTGCCATCCCTGGTCAGTCCCACATAGGAGAGGAGAGATACCTCGGACTTGAATTCAGCAGGTTCCTGAGCAGAATGGAGCAGTTTGTTTGAACCTCTGCCCTCCCGAGAATGAGGCAGAGAGAGCTGAGGGAGAGAGAAGTAGAGAACAGAAGTGCCACCTCAGGCTTGCTCAGGATGGGCCTTGAAAAGTGCCCTGTGGTTCCCATGGGACAGAGGAGGTGTCAGAGTGAGCGAGGAGGTGGAAACAGGAGCAGAAGTCAACTGGGGGAGGATGGAAAAATGAAGTAAGTTGGAGAGAACAGAGAACGTGGGAGCTGATGAAGAGATTAAAGAGCAGGGAAAAGAGAAATGAGGAAGAGGGAGAAGGCAGACACCTGCACTATATTTGGAGCCTGAAGTTAGTCAGTCCTAGATCTATACTTAGGTACTAAATAAATGTTTCAGAGATCCTGAGCACTCATCACCTTCACCAGAGATGCAGAGTCCTCAGCACTTTGGAAAAGGAGGGCAGGCAGACTCCAAGCACATAGCCCAGTTTCAAGCTCCCTGTTTTTTGGTTCTCTGGGTTTTTCGGGCTGCATTCTATACTTCATCTCTATTTTGAGGTTTACAATCAGCTTTAAATGTTCCTTCTGTTGAGCAAAGTTGTTTTGTTTCTGAACTGATGCAGAGGGATGACAGATTTTGCCCTGAGATCTTTAAAGCATCTCAAGTTGCCTCTAAAAGCCCCCCTGGAAGCCACTCCTCAGCTAAAGGCAGCATTACATGGACTAGGAAAAGGACAGTGCATGCTCCCTCACAGGTCTGCAAATACATCATCCTGAACAAGAGACCCTTCTGGGACCTGACTATTTGGTTCTGTTTGATTTTACCTCATGCAAGGGAGGATGGGAAACAGATGAGGGATGGGAAGAGTACCAGAGCCAACCCCTGCTGCCCCGAGCAGCTGCAGAACTTCTCCCAGGACTCCAGCTCTCCCTTCTAAGCACAGCCTCTGCCTGCTGGAAGAGCAAGATCTGTACCCCATGGTCTGCTGAGCCAGCACTAACCTCCCACATCGGAAGGGCCACAGGCTGGCAGTGCCTGTTGCTGCACCTCAGCCTGTTGAGGCTTGGGCAAGCTCAGCCAGCAGACACACCTTAGTTCTTAATATATTTCTCTGCCCTTTTCTGTATTCTGTCCCATCTGCTTTCTTTGCCCCTTTACCATCCCATACAACTTCAAAAGCTGCCCCTTAGATTTGGCTCAAAATTTTGAGTTTGCCTTTCTCCCTCATGTATTGGCAGCCGTGCTGTGACCCAGACAGTCAGCTCAGCTTCAGCTACAGGTACAGCACGTTCTGGTCACTCCTGTAAAACCCTCTCTCTGCCTGGCACAACCCATCTACTCCTCCAGCTCAGGCTGCTGTGCTTTGCCAACTCAGAGCCACCCCGGGCCGCCCAGGATGAGAAGGGCAGTGTCCTGTGAGCCAGGCAGGGTGTGAAGCCCTGGGAGAGGCTGGGAGCTGGGTCCCAGCACCGTGGGAGATCAGGCTTTACAAGCAAAACTTGGGTGACTTCATCCTTCAAAGGAGGGACCGTTCCCTGGAGCCAGCGATTTGATCACTGCATCTTATCTCCTCCTGGGAGGCTCACACGGGCTGCCTCTGGGATCTGCAAGCACCAAAAAGGAACCAAAATGCCAGACCCAACAAATTCCTGCCTCGACTGAAAAATAAATACACGTTGGATTTTAGTTTAAAGACCAGAATATCTGAATGTCATCCCAGCCAGGATGGAAGCTGAAGTATCTAGTTTTAATGAATGTGCAGATGTGCCTGCTAATAGGGTTCTGAGAACAAATAATTGCTGCTTTTTGTACACAGCTTAGACTCTGTGTAGTAAATGGGAAGCACTGCCAAATCCCATTTGTTACTTCTAACACGCTCTATGTTATTGCTTGTTTCTATGGCAATAATCCCAAGAAGGATTTCATGTCCACACAGATCAAGAAATAAATCTCATGGACATACAGCTGTCTAGATGAGGAAAAGAGAAAGTTGAAACAGCTGTGAACTTACAGGACACATCCTGGCTTCAGCATGAAACAGAACTCACAAGTAACAATTTATTCGGTGCAATCCCTCACTGTCAATACCATTTTTATTATCAAATAGAAACACATCTAAACAGGATATTGCCTGAACTTTTGCATCTTATTACATGAGAAATCTTGCCGAAATGCATAGTAATGCTTTTTAAAAAAAAGTTACCTTTTTTTTTTTTTTAAAACTGAAATGAAACAGCTGTACAACTGTCACTGGGACATCTATCCTGGGTGTTGTCAAGAAATAAAATTTGACTTTTTATTAGAAATTTCCTGGTCTAATCTCAAGTTTTCAGGCAAGGCCTGTGTCGTATCTGAGCTGGCACCTGGTTTCCACCTTACCTGCCACCAAAGAAGACCTGAGGGTTTTAACTACCTGCCTTTTTGTTCTCTGTTAACTGGTACTATTATGCTCACAGCAGGATGAGGCCAACTGTACAAAGACTAAGAACCTCTTGCACTACTAAGCTTGAAAGTAACTAACATTATTATTTGGCAGACAGGAACATAGGACAGGGACTTCTCTGCTCACAACACCTAATGTCTTTTTTCTGTTCATGCATTTCCAAAGTTTTCTTTTCAAGAGTACTAAATAGAAACAAGATCTTTCTTTGAAAGAGCCCAAACACACAGCTGCTTGCAATAGGCAGAGGATAAGGCTCTGCTGTCAGTCACTCCCAGAATACAGAAACAAGGAAGCCCTGAGAGGAAAACAAACAAGCAAACAACCTCAAGGAGATTTGTCTTATTGTACTGATGGAGGTTTGGATGATGGAAAAGGCAGGTGGTGCAGACAGAGGCAAACCCTTCCCAGAAGAGCACAGTGACAGGATGAGAGGCAGCACCCCCAGGCTGCAGCAGGGAAATTCCAGCTGAAGAGAAAATCATCCCCTGAGCACCATATGAAATTGGAACAGGGAGCTGGAAAGGATATTCAATTCAAAGGATTTTCAAAACTCAGCTAAACAAGACCCTGAGAAAACGTCAAGCCCTGATTCAAGCGTGAGCTCGGACTAAGGACTGTGAGAGGTCCCTCCTGGTTCTCTGTGATTCTAATACACACCTTTCTCAAACTGTTTAGTACTGCCCCCATTCTGAGCTTTATCATATAAGCCATGGCAAGCAAAAATGGAGTCCAGATTATCAGATATTTGTAAAGAAGTTCACCTTGGGCATAAAAACTTTTTTCCACTTTTCCTGGAAACAAAAGCTCAAATGTGGTAAAAATGTCTCAAAATCTCACTTGAAAAGCACTTGAAGTTAAACCTGAAGTCAGCAGATAAGTGCTTCCATGAACTTTAGTCCAATTCAACACACAGTGTTTTGCTGTTCCTCTCATTTCAGAAGGAAATCAGATTCCCATTTCAATTGATAACTGGTGCTCTGGAGGAGGTGCTGTGGGTGAGATGGTAGTGAAGGGCAAATTTCCACATCCCAACATGCAAAATTACTGATGATACACAGGTGGCTGCCCACACATAGCATTTAAACTATCTCTGTGCTCTGAAGGACTGAGACCTGGAGATAGGAAAATGTTTCTCACTGGTTAAAACAAAAAAAGAAAATCCAGGAGCAAGTGCCTTAAAACCTCCAGAAAACCAGTGCCCAAACCTGCAAAACAGAGCAGGGCATGGCTTAAAGGGCTGCCTAACCATGCACATAATGCCAGCCCACTGATCTGTGGCAAGAGAGGTTTGAGGTGCTAGAGGATGGCTGCAGGCTGCCAGCTCTGCCTGCCTGGGGCCAGGCAGGTGACCTGCAGCAGAGCCACGAGGGTAAATACTCACCAGCCTTCCCCAGCTCCACCACCTGCTGTTACCAGTGTCCCCATGGCAAGTACAGTTAATGCTTACGTGGACACGAAACGTTCAGGAAACATTTAGTGTGGTTTTCAGCGGCTTTGATGTGATAAGTGTTTTATCCTTTATCAAAAACTTAATCACGCTGTTTACTTTTGATCCTCATTTCATCTCTGCCTTCCATCTGCTCTGCCTCTCTCAAGGGGAAACAAGAGCTGGTACCATGTGATGAGTGGAGCGGGGCTGCAGACTTATCTTCCCACCCACTTAACTTTCGGATTAACCAAATAAATAAAAGCCTTCCCACTTCAGGGATGAAAGGCACAAGCTTCTCACAACCTCCCAGCAAAATTATAGGAGCTAAAGAACATGACAAGGGAAGGTGTGGAGAGCGGAGTGTCCAGCTGTGCTGTAAGGGGGGGGTCCAGTGAGCTCCTCCTGACAAGAACTCAGAACGTGTAAGTCAATGCTCAGTGAGCACAGGCAGGGGACAAACCAAGGGTATAGGAGACTCAGGGTCAAGCATTACTTTGGTAAGGCACAGACTTCAACAAACACACCTAATCCAGAGTGAGTTGGACTCGTTCTTACTCCCATCTGTGAACCAAAATAGCAAACATCTCCCATCCTGCCTCAATCCTGCAAAAGTCTTACCCAATCAAACATTCACAAAAACCACAGTTCAAGGAAGTGGAGACAGTTCACAGTAACACACTCTGGAAAAACATCCTGGAGAAATCTTGGACACTTTTAGTAGCCAGATCTACTACCCAGCCATCACTACATGGGGAACAAATCCTGCTCCAGGTTCTCAGCCAGGACAACACAAGACACACTCGG